GAGATCGCGCCATTGCTCCCCAGCCTGAGTAGCAAGAGGGAAACGCCGTAAAAAAAAAAAAAAAAAAAGAAAAGAAAAGAAAAAAGAAAAGGCTGTCCTTTCCCCATTGAGTGGTTTCTGTACCCTTCTTGAATATCATTTGACCATACGCACAAGGATTTATTTCTAAGCTCTCTATTCTATTTCACTGGTCTATATATCTGTCTTTATGCCAGTACCACAATATCTTGATTGATGTAACTTTGTATTAAGACTTTTTTTTTTTTTGAGACAGGGTCTTGCTATGTTGCCCAGGCTGGAGTGCAGTGGCACAATCATGGCTCATGGCAGCCTTGAGCTCCCAGGTTCAAGAAATCCTCCCACCTCAGATTCCTGAGTAGCTGGGGCTATGGGTGCACATCACCACACCCAGTTAATTTTTGTATTTTTTAGTAGAAATGGGGTTTTGCCATGTTGTCCAGGGCGCTCTTAAACTCCTGGGCTCAAGCAATCCTCCTGCCTCAGCCTCCTAAAGTACTGGGATTACATGTGTTGAGCTACCATGCCCAGCCTGTATCAAGTTTTGAAACCACGAAGTGAGTCCTTCAACCTTTTTATTCTTTTTCAAGATTGTTTTGGTCATTTGGCATCCCTTGAGATTCCAAATGAATTTCAGAATAATTTTTCTATTTTTGCAAGAAATGTTGGAATTTTCACAGGCTTGCACTGAATCTCTATATCTCTTTGGGCAATACTGACATGTTAACAATATTAAGTCACCCAATCCACAAATGTGATATCATTACATTTAATTATATCTTCTTTAATTTCTCACAAAAATGTTTATACAATTCTTTCATCTCCTTGGTTAATTACCCAATATTTGCTACTATAAATGAAATTGTATTCTTAGTTTTTTTTATCAATATGATTTTCATTGTGAGGGCATATATACAAGTGATTTTTGCCTGTTGATTTTGTACCCGGCTACTTTGCTGAACTCATTTATTAATTCTAGCAGGGGCTGAGGGGTGTGTGTGTAATCTCCAGGGTTTTCATTTTTTTCTTTTTGGAGATGGAGTCTCATTCTGTCACCCAGGCTACAGTGCAGTGGTGCGATCTTGGCTCACTGCGACCTCCACCTCCCAGGTTTAAGCAATTAACCTGCCTCAGCCTCCTGAGTAGCTGGGACTACAAACACACACTGCCATGCCTGGCTAATTTTTTTTTTTTTTGGTACTTTAGTAGAGATGGGGTTACGCTATGTTGCCCTGGCTGGTCTCAACCCCGAGCTTAGGCAATCCACCGGCGTTGGTGCTAGGATTACATGAAATGGACAAAATTACAGGCGTGAGCCACCTCCCAAAGTGCTAAGATTACAGGCATAAGCCACTGTGGCCGACCCGACGTTTTCTATAATACATATAAGTCATATCATCTGCAAACAGATAATTTTACTTCTTCCTGTCCAGTTTCAATGTCTTTTCTTTTTTTGCTTACTTGCTCTGGCTAGAACTTCCATTGCCATGTTAAATAGAAGCTACAAAGCCAAGCATCTTTGTCTTCTTCCTGAGCTTGGAGAAAAAGCTTTCAGTCTTTGACCACTGAGTAGGATGTTAGCTGTGGACTTTTCGTGTATGGTTCTTATGTTGAGGTACTCTTCTTCTACACGTAATTTGTACGGTGTTTTTACCACAGAAGGGTACTGACATTCGTCAAATGCTTTTTGTGCAACTGAGATGATTGTGTGGTTTTTGTCCTCAATGTGGTGTATTACATTGATTGATTTTCATATGTTGAACCACTCCTCCTGTAATCATGGGCTAAATCCCACTTGGTATTGGTACACAATACTTTTAAATGTGCTGCTGACTTCCATTGGCTAGTATTTTGTTCAAGATTTTTGCATCGATGTTCATTAAGGGATACTGGCCTATAGTTTTCTTACAGTGTCTTTGTTTTTGGTATCAGGGTAATGCTGGCCTTACTGAGTTAGAAAGTGTTCCTTTTTCCTCAAATTTTTGGAAGAGTTTGAGGAGGACTGGTTTTAGTCTTTTAAGTGTTTCATAGAATTTACTGGTGATGTTACCATGTCCAAGGTTTTGCTATCTCTGGAGGTTTTGGATTACTTAACCTCCTTAATAGTTAGGGGTCTGTTCAGATTTTCTATTTCTTCGTGATTTAGTTCTGGTATGTTTTGTTTTTCTAGGAATTTGTCCATTTCGTGTAGATTATTCCAATTCATTGTCCTATAATTGTTCCCAGTACTGATCATTTTTATTTCTGTAGTATGAGTAGTGATGCCATTTTCATTTCTAATTTTAGTAATCAGAGTCTTCTTCCTTTTTTACTTCATCATTCTAGCCAAAGGTTTATCATTTGTTAATCTTCTTAAAGAACCAACCCTTGGTTTTGTTGATTTTCTGTATTGGTTCTCTATACTCTATTTTACAAATTAAAATAATTAACATACTACTTACAAACTGCAAATTATAAATTATAATTTACATATTATATTTGTAAGTTACAATAATTACAAGTTACAGTAATAGTATTTTACAAATTATCTTAAGTTACAATAATACTAGCTTTTATAATGGTTGATGTATTTGCTTTTATCAGAAATCTTTACTTCCTCTTCTCAAATGGTTGTGTCTTACTGTCTGCCGTGCTTTCATTTCAACCTAAAATACTCCCCTGAGCATTTCTTGCAGGTCAGATCTAGTGATTAAAAACTCCCTTTTAAGTGTTTCGTAGAATTTACTGATGATGCTATCATGCCCAAGGTTTTGCGTTGTCAAGTTTTGGATTACTTAATCCTTCACTAGTTAGGGGACTATTTCGATTTTCTATTTCTTCTTTGCAAGTTATAATAATTGTAAGTTACAGTAATAATATTTTACAAATTATCTTGTTACAATAATATTAGCTTTTATAATGCTCCATGTATTTGCCATTGATTGCCTGGAAAAGTGTTAATTTCTCCATTATTTTTGAAGGAATTTTGCCAGATGTAGAATTCTTAACAGGTTTTCCCCACTTATGCATTTTGAATATATCAACCCATGCCCTCTGGCCTCGAAAGTTTCCGAAGAGAGATCTGCTGACAATCTCAGTGGTATCCCCTGTATGCAGTGAGTCACTTCTCTCCTGCTGCTTTCCAGAGTCTGTCTCCAGCGTTATCGCCTGATTATAACGCATGTTCACGTGGGTCTGTGAGTTTATCCTGCTTGGAATTTGTTGAGCGAATTGGGTATGAATATACATGCTGTTCAGCAAATGTGGGGAGTTTTCAGCCAAATCATCTGTCTGCTCCTTCACTTCTCTTCTCCTTCTGGAACTCCCAGGATCTGTATCTTGGGCTACTTGGCTGTGACTCAGAGGTCCCTTAGGGTCTATTCATTTCTCTTATAATCTTTATTATTTCTGTTCCCCAGACTTGCTAATTTTTTAATAGTTCCAGCTTCACACTCAATTTTTCTGCCTGCTCAAATATGCTTTTGAATCCCTCCGGTGAAATTTTCATCTCAGTTATGGTATATTTCATTTCCAGAATTTCTTTTTGGTTCCCTTTATGTATTCTATCTTTTTATAACTGATATTAGCATTTTGTTCATAGATCGTTTCCTTGACTTTTCCAACATTTTCTTTTAACTCTCTGGGCATCTTTAAGATGGTTATTTAAAATTTTTTGCCTACTAAGTACACAACCTATTCTTTCTCAGGGACAGCTTGTGTGGATTACTTCTTCTTCTTCCTTTTTTTTTTTGTTTTCTGTCTGTCACCAAGTCTGGAGTGCAGTGGTGCTATCTTGGCTCACTGCAACCTCCATCTCCCAAGGTTCAAGTGATTCTCATGCCTCAGCCTCCCGAGTAACTGGGATTATAGGCATCTGTCACCATACTGGCTAATTTTTTTGTTGATGGGGTTTCACCATGTTGGCCAGGCTGGTCTCAAACTCCTGACCTCAGTTGATCTGCCCACCTTGATGACAAAGTGCTGGGATTACAGGCGTGAGCCACTGTGCCTGGCCTGGATTTATTTCTTCCCTTTGAATAGGCTAGACTTTCCTGTTTCTTTGTATGCCTTGTGATTCGTCAATAAAAACTGAACATGTGAGCATTATGGTTTGCCATTATATTTAAAACTACAAATACAGCAGTAACTCTAGAGATGAGTCTCTCCCTTTCCCCAGGGCTTGCTGAGCTTTTTTTCAATATTGGATTTTTGTATCTAAACTATATTCCTTGTTTCCTAATTAACTATCTAACAAAAGAAGAAAGTTAAATAAATCCTACTACATACATACCATGTGATATTATACAGTTGTTCATTTACTGAAAAAGGTCTATTAAGTGTCAGGTACTGTATAATTGCTGAAAACAGAGGAACTTGTTAAGAATATAGTCTCCAGGCCGGGCACGGTGGCTCAAGCCTGTAATCCCAGCACTTTGGGAGGCCGAGGCGGGTGGATCATGAGGTCAAGACATCAAGACCATCCTGGTCAACATGGTGAAACCCCGTCTCTACTAAAAATACAAAAAATCAGCTGGGCATGGCGGCACGTGCCTGTAATCCCAGCTACTCAGGAGGCTGAGGCAGGAGAATTGCCTGAACCCAGGAGGCGGAGGTTGCGGTGAGCTGAGATTGCGCCATTGCACTCCAGCCTGGGTAACAAGAATGAAACTCCGTCTCGGGGGAAAAAAAAAAGAATATAGTCTCCATAAAGACAGGCTCTTACAGTCTATGCTACTCATTGATGTATGCTAGAATTTAACTATATATAGTATGCACCCAATAAACATCTGATGAATAAATAAATGCATTTCAATGTGCTGAGTCTTTGCAGAATTACTTATGAAAATAATTTACTATACTTTTCATAGGCAATTAAAGGTTTAAAGGCACTGTAAAAATAAAGACAGTTTCATGTTCTGACACATTAAATAAATATGGTCTGTCTCTACATATTCATATACTCAGACATTAATACTATTCTTTAACCTCCCCTAAAAACATACCTTTACAATGTACTGCAATGGCACCCTCAGCATTTTCACAGATATCCAGAAATTCTTTAACAATGGCATCAGTAGGGGTACTGCCATCCGCAAAGAAAAGATCATGGTGATCAAAGCCAGCATCCGTAAAGCGTTTGGCATCATACATCCTTTTATTCAGACGAATAATGGTAGTAACATTGTGATTCTTAAAATATTGAATATAAGTATCGGGAGAATGTTGGTGGTAACCTACATAAAGAAATGTACCAGATCTTGTAAAACACATAAAGAAAACAACAGCTAATAGTTTCACCTGTAATTGAGTGGAAACAGTATCTGGACTGGGAATTAAATTCCAATTTGATTGTAACTGTAAACAACAAAATGAAAAGAAAGTTAAAATCCAGTCAGAATGATGTACTGAAATGACCAAGTAGGTTTAAATAAATAAGACTTGGTCAAGCTTGGTGTAACATTTTCAAAAGAAAATAATGGATAGATACTTTGAATAACACAATGAGATTGATGCCATAATGTCACATACCACTTTCAAGTCTGGATCTTGAATGAGGTCCACAGAAGGCAATAAATCGGTCTGGTATTATCCAATTTAAATCTCCATTTTCTGCTTTCTGCAAGGGGAAGGCCAGCACAATTCATTTTTAAACGTGATCTCCCCACAACCTCTCTACTCAAGACTGAGTCTCTGAAGGACTTCAAATCCATTTGCTTTAGCAGAAAAGCTGTTTACAAATTCTCATGAGACAGGAATCTAAATTTGTCCTGCTATGAGTATATCCAGGGAATGGATATATATCCTAGTTCTAATCACCTTCTTTTAACGGTGTTTCATTGCTAGGGTATCAATCCTTGGAATACAGAACTGACTGCTGCCATACAAATATACTAACTACTTGGTTATTTAATCTGAATCAATTCTCATTATAGTTGCTGCTAATTAAGAAAGCAAGCAAACTTTTCCAGTATAAGGAATCTGAGAACTTTCCTGTTTTCCTGAATGACTGGTTTCCAACATGAGTAATCCTGACTCCACGAACAAAGGGGGAAAAACTATCTTTTTTTTTTTTTTTTTGAGACGGAGTTTCACTCATGTTACCCAGGTTGGAGTGCAATGGCGCAATCTCGGCTCACTGCAGCCTCCGCCTCCTGGGTTCAGGCAATTCTCCTGCCTCAGCTTCCTGAGTAGCTGGGATTACAGGCACGCGCCACCATGCCCAGCTAATTTTTTGTAGTTTTAGTAGAGACGGGGTTTCACCGTGTTGACCAGGATGGTCTCGATCTCTTGACCTCATGATCCACCCGCCTCGGCCTCCCAAAGTGCTGGGATTACAGGCTTGAGCCACCGCGCCCGGCGAAAAACTATCTATTTAGGTTTCTGGCTTCCCATTATTTACTTACTTACCTACTTATAGAGGCATATCTTTCCACTATTTTTCTATTTAATAAGACAACCAATTAAATAAGTTCACCTGTTCATGACCAGCCTGACCAAGATGGAGAAACCCCGCCTTTACTAAAAAATACAAAATTAGCTGGTGTGGTGGTGCATGCCTGTAATCCCAGCTTTATTTGTGAGGCTGAGGCAGAAGAATCACTTGAGCCTGGGGCGGTGGAGGTTGTGGTGAGCTGAGATCGTGCCATTGCACTCCAGCCTGGGCAACAAGAGTAAAACTCCACCTCAAAAAGAAAAAGTTCACTAAATCCACCAGGAAACTCAAAATTACAAATATACTGAGACCACAGTATGTCCCTACAAAAAATGAATACAAACTGATATGTATTCTATGTATGCATCATACATACTATATAAGACACATTACTTCCTGTTATTAGGTCCTTTGGATTAAGTTACCTTTACTATTATAACATAGATACAGTTCAAATTTAACAAGAGAAACGTACCTCTTAATAATAATAGAAATTTATCTCGTAAGATAACAGAGACTTAACAGGAAGTAGAAGAGCCTTGATAGTGGAGAGGAGAGAACTCGTGATTAAAAACAACAACAGATAAATTAGCTTTGCCACTGGGGTGTTTCTATGTGTACCTAAAAATCAGTAAGAAATGACAGAGCTTTGGCCAGGCCCAGTGGCTCATGCCTGTAATCCCAGTACTTTGGGAGGCTGAGGTGGGCGGATCAAGAGGTCAGAAGTTTGAGACCAGCCTGACCAAGGGGGCGAAACACAGTCTCTACTAAAAATACAAAAATTAGCTAGGCATGGTGGCGCTGGCCTGTAATCCCAACTACTCAGGAGGCTGAAGCAGGAGAATCTTTTGAACCCAGAAGGCAGAGCTGAGATTGCACCACTGCACCCCAGCCTGGGTGACAGAGCAAGACTCCATCTCAAAAAAAAGGAAAAAAAAAAAAGAAATAACAGAGCTTCTTGGAATATCTACAGGGACCAGGCAGGTAACCTCAAACTAGTTTATCAGACTTAATGATCAACAAGGGGAACTGGTCAGCCCGTGTTCCATAACACAAATGTCTAAGCAGCTGGGTGTGGTGGCACGCACTTGTAGCTACTTGGTGGGCTGAGGCGGGAGCATCACTAAAGCCCAGGAATTTGAGTCCAGCCTGGGCAACACAGTGAGACCCTATCTCTTTTAAAAAAAAAAAAAAAAAAAAAAAAAAAGGTTTAAACAGGAATGATTTTACTGAATTGCTGATGCCATAAATTAAGATACATCCTGAATTTGGAGGAGCTGAAACAGGGAAAAAATGCACACTGCATAAAATGGAAGACACTAATCCCAAATTTCTAAACACACAATATAGACTGTACAAAACTGGAGTTTGGGAACCTAAACAGCTCGCTGTGTCACCACGTAGCTTCAGGGAGGTGAAAACGTTTGTGGTGTGTCCCTGCTACTCCCTCAGCCCAGACTCTCCAATCTCCACAGTAGTCAGAGGGGAGTTACTTAGCGCCTATATTATGCATTAATAGCACGCAAAGGCATCACCGCAAAAAAAATGATGAGTTCGTGTCCTTTGTAGGGACTTGGATGAATCTGGAAACCATCATTCTCAGCAAACTGACACAAAAACAGAAAGCAAAACACTGTATGTTCTCACTCTAGGTGGGTGTCGAACAATGAGAACACGTGGACTCAGGGAGAGAAGCATCACACACTGGGGGCAGTTGGTGGGGGCAGGGGAGGGAAAACGGGGAGAAATGCCAGATATAGTATGCACCTAAAGTAAAATAAATAAATTTAAGAAAAAAAAGGCAAGCCTAGCCCAGGAAAAAAAAAAAAAGGGCATCACAGCACTACAAAATGAACAAATACCAACTAGTGTTTTTAGCAGTTTTGCTTACTTAGAGAAAGCAACTTGTTTCAAATGTTTAGTGTTTTAAAGACAAGCACAAAAAATGGTGTTAATAATTTAGCTATACTCCGTAAGTTTAAGATGCTAGTTAAACTTATGTTATACTTTAGAAGTGGAGGGCTATCAGAGAAGTAAAGACAGGGTTGGCCCTAATGAACCCTGCAATGTACTCTTAATCTTTGCTGCATCACAGTAACAACTGAGTGTCATTATTAACTAAAATCGAAAAAAACAGTTCAGTTACACTAAGAGTTTGAAAGAATATCTACTTTAGACATTGCACAAGAGTTCTCTGAGGATTCGCAAGATGAAGTGCTGTTGTTTGAGGAATCGCCTCCCCAGTGCTAGAGAGCAAGTCTGCTCAAGGTAACTATAGGATGGTAAGAAGACAGGAGGCTACAACTACCCTGGGCTGGAAAGGCCTTTAGCACAGCATCTTACTCATTCCCTAATATGGAGGATGAAGCTGTAGAATCAAATTATTTATTCTTTAAAAAAATACATACTATGTTAAGGAACATAGAACACACCTGTGGTTTTGCCTGGCTTACCTTTTCCTGACCCTGTCCTACCTTTTTAAAAAATTTTGTGTGGCTGGGGGCGGTGGCTCACACCTATAATCCCAGCACTTTGGGAGGCCGAGGCAGGCAGATCCCTTGAGCTCAGGACTTTGTGACCAACCTGGGCAACATGGCGAAACCCCATCTCTGCAAAAAATTAAAAAATAAAAAAATTAGCCGGGCATGGTGGCACGCGCCTGTAGTCCCAGCTACTGGGAGGCTGAGGTGGGAGGATCACTTGAACCCAGGAGGTTGAGGTTGCAGTGAGCCAAGATGGCACCACTGCACTCTAGCCTGGGCAATAGAGCAAGACCCTGTCTCAAAAAAAGAAAAATAAAACTGTTAGACAACTTTTTTTGTTTGTTTGACTGGTTTGATGGGGCTGACCCCATGCCCCAGGCTCCTGGGATGGCCAGAGAACAAAGACTGGCCAGAGTATTCCTTAGCCCTTCCCTGCCAAAGAACACAGGCCAACGCAGAGATGGGCATATGGTGTAAGTCAGGCCAGTAAGAGGCATTCCCAGGCCTTCTGATGGAGCTAAGATTACATTTTTCTGATCATTTTGCCAAATGGCAGATCAAAACTACTGGTGGCCATCTTCATCACTATTGGAGAGGGCTGGCCTGAGAACAAACTAGTTTCAAGTCCAATTTCTGGTAAGTGTCTGAGCGCCTGAAGGGGCATGCTAAAAGCCAAACCTGCTCCTGGACTTTTAATTTATGTAATCCAATAAATTCCACCCCCCTTTGAAAATCTGAAACAGGGTCTTGCTCTGGCTGGTTGTCCAGACTGGAGGGCAGAGGGGTGATCTCGGCTCGCTGCAACCTCTGCCTCATGGGTTCAAGCAATTCTCCCCCCTCAGCCTCCTGAGTAGCTAGGATTACAGGTGTGCACCACCACACCTGGTGAATTTTTTGTATTTTAGTAGAGATGGGGTTTCACCATGTCGCCCAGGCTAGTTCTCGAACTCTTGAGCTCAGGCAATCTGACTGCCACAGCCTCCCAAAGAGCTAGGATTACAAGCATGAGCCACTGTGCCTGGCAAATGTTTCATTTTTTATTTAAGCTATTTGTGTTTACTTTCTATAACTTGCAACCAGAAGTGTCCTGACAAAGACGGTTATGGCAAAAACAAAGATATTTTCCAGAGATAATTAGGTGTATAGTGACTATTCATCTCATCATACTCTATGCTAAGGCTTTTATAAACATGTCAATCACTGTACGGCAATACTAAAATACATTTAAACCAAACAGTATAAAGAACACACAGGGGCACACTCATTTACTCTGGAATTGTGCATTAAATACAGAAATTCCCACTAAGAATTGGGACTGAAGAAATAGGGATAAAAAGATGAATACTTGACCTTTTTTCACTCTATACACATATAAAACAAAACAAGAATATTGCTTCTTCTGTAAGTGAAATAAGAAAGCTAAAAACAGGGCTGTGCACAGTAGCACATGTCTGTAATCCTAGCACTTTGGGAGGTCAAGGCAGGAGAAGTGCTTGAGGTCAGGAGTTCAAGTCTAGCCTGGACAACAAAGTGAAACCCTGTCTCTACAAAAATAAAGATAAAAAACTTAGCTAGCACGATGGTATGCACCTGTGGTTCCAGTTACTTGGAAGGCTGAGGAGAGAGGATCATTTGAGCCCAGAAGTTCAAGGCTGCAGTGAGCCATGTACACCACTGCACTTCAGCCTAGGTAACAGAGCGACTTGGTCTCTCTCTCTCTCTCTGTCTCTTAATTTAAAAAAAGAAAAATTAAAAACAGGCAGAGAAATTGTGGTCAGAATACAAAGCATCAGAGGATGAGTAAATTCTGGAGATCTAACGTATGTACTGTGTGCCTGAAATCTGCAAGAGTACATCTCAGGTATTCTCATCGCACATACCAGAAGACTAAATTATGTGAGGTGATGAATATGCTAACTAGCTTGATTAGGTAATCATTTCATGGTGTATACATATTTCAAAACATTACTTTGTACATCTTAAGTATATATAAGTTTTATTTGTCAATTATTCCCCTCAATAAAGCAGCGGGGGGGGAGGGGGAAAGAGTTGAAAATATGATCCTTGAAGACTTACTTCATAGTGTTCATATTCATCAAGGTTAAATGAGTTGAAATTAAGGAAGCCATACTGCATTGCCTAAAATCCAAAGAAAGCTTTTAAGAACAAGGATGCAAATAAGAAAACAGTTTCCTATTGAATTTCAGAGTACTAACTATCAGGGGCACCCCAAGAAAGAACTGTCATGATTAGATTACTTTCCATTGAATAGCTTTCAAAGGAATTGGATGGCATCTTCTAAGTGCTTCTCTTACCTAGAATTAGTTATAACTATATTTAATGAGTTTGTTGTGTTTTGTTTAGATTTTGTTTGTGAGATGTACTTTTTTATTTTCATTCACCAATCATCCTATCCATGCATAGTTAAATAATCATGCTCTTAAAGTAATCCCACTGACTCACCAGACCACCACCACCGCTGGTTGAACACTTAGAAGTTTAGGATTCAAATATAATGTACAACTCAGTGGTCTCTACATCATTAAGAAGGAGAAGAGAATCCATGGGCTACTTTATCCCAAACAAAGCCCTCACACTTCCTCCATATCTTCATTTTCAAATTCTTTTGAACAGTCTTGAATCAACGTTCACTAAACTAAACACAGCTCAGACATCAACACTAAAATAAAAAATTTTTAGGAAAAAAATTTATTATTTCCACAGGAATAAAACAAAACATTTTCTGCCCTATCCTACAGCCTCACTCTGTGTTACAGCAGGCACAGTATGCTAGGCAAAATAAGCAGTGTCTATTTTCTGAGACAAGGACAAACAGAGCTGGCAGCCTCTGAGAAATGTCCTCCCAGCTTGCTGATCGCTGAGCCAAACAGGAGGGAAGGAAGAATTTTTGATCCCCAGGTATTCTTGGTTCAAAGAGGGGGCTTTTGTAAACCAGTTTTCCAAAAAAAATTTTATATTTGTACTGAACTGCAAATATAAAATAAGAAGACTAGAATACCAACTAAAAAGGTCTTCATTTTATTTAGTATTTAAACACTAATCCCAAGACTAAGTCAATCAAAATTTATTTCCTTGAATTCGATATATTTCATGATTTTGGACTAGAGATATTCCTAATGGAATGAAACAGTTACAAAAAATTCCTTAAACAAGTCCTTAGTTTATAAGGAATTCCTATTTTCCTTTGAATTTCAAGAGGTGATCTTATTGGAAATAGATCACACTGAAAACACAATTACATTGATGCATGTTTCTTCATATATGTAATATTCAAAATCAGTCACAAATAAAATATGTTTACACCGAAAATCAGAAACTAGTGACCCTTAAATAAAACTAAATATAGTGGCTGGGTGCAGTGGTACTGTAATCTCAGCACTTTGGGAGGCCAAGGTGACTGGGTCGCTTGAGCTCACGAGTTTCAGACCAGCCTAGGCAACATAGTGAGACCTTGTCTCCAGAAAAAAATAGAAAAATTAGCCAAGCAATGCATAAAAAATAAAGATTTAATTTAAAAAACCCCAAAATATAGTATGAAAAGGGCAATCTTTGACCTATCATACCAGCTAATTGACTTTGGTACAATACTCAACAACAACAAAAAGCCAAAAACTAACAATAGAAGCTGCTATATGGTATAACAGATCATTTCCAAACCCCTTAAAGCTTTACTTTTCTATTTTTAAAGATGAGTGTGCCTACCTGCATGAGCCCATCTGGCAGGGGCTGCAGCTGCAACCTGCTGCCCTTTGGTCTCCTTTCCTCTAGTGCCCTGTACCCACCGAAGCTGAGGGCCCATGGAGCCGCCTCAGAGCCCATGGTAACTACCCCAATCAGCTCCATACCCCACAGTCACTGGGCTCAAATCCAAACAAATTATGTTCCTACACCTCATTGACTGATATAGGCAAAAAGTATACTAATTAGTTTCTGAATTTGTATGCTGATTAGTCCTCTCATTTTAAGTCATAAAATGTCTGTCACAATTCCCGGCAAGCCACCAGGTTTCATCGTACAAGAAAGTAAACCTGGGTTCCTTTTGGGTATAAAAGCACAAGTTACAGAAAACTTGAGATGCTGTAAAGGCTTATTTGACCCATGGGCTACTGACTTACCATTCTAGTTTCTTGTGCTGTTCTGACATTAACACCAGGACTTGCTGCACTGTGTAACCCCAGGGGACACTGTTCAGGTAGAATGTGACATGCAGGGTGTCCCCTGGAATTAACACAGCAGCCCTGGTTAAGACCCCAAGGAATCACTTGGAAATAGTCTGACAAAGCAGCAGTGACCTACTTAATTTCATATAAAACCGTGTAATAAACCAATTGAGGCATTTAAATTCTGTTGAACTAGAAACTGAATGCCTGATGATACAAAAATGAAATGTTGGACAGTTACCGTGTTATGTCTGTTGTAATGGTATTGGTGGGAATCAGGTGTATAGAATACACAAATCAAAGAGAACTTACCAGTAAACCAGTCATCTTTACTTTTGTTCCTTTAGATCATAATACACTCAAAATCAATTCTGGATCTAGAACCTAATTTCATAACTCTGATTCTCCCTGTTTCTTAAGTGACTTTTCCCCCAACTCATACAGAGAAGCACTCAGAAATTCAGAATAAACTGTTTCCTGGTTTGATCTCGTAACATTAGTTGAGAAATGGAGTACCTCTGTTACCATATACATCTTGGAAGAAACGCTACCAAACAGATCTTGGGAAGAAGGCCTAGTCTTCTTGGACCACTTGTTAGTCCCCCCAACACAACACTGGGTGCACCCTACATGTCACTTACCTTCTTTACTGCATGAAAACAGTCAAGAAGCGTAATGTAGAAATTGCAGCTTCCATAGGCAGCATCTCTGAAACCCAAAAGTAATGAAATACAGATCAGTTAATTTTCTGCAATTATACTTGCCTAAGACAAAGCTGACTAGAATTTAAAATCAAACATATACTCAGAATCATTATCAAAAAGAGAAGTCTCGCCTTTTGACTTTTTAAAATAAAAGATAAATAAATTATAAATTTCACTGCAGTTTCTACCTATTCCAATAGGTGCTGTTTTATGGGCCTGGATCAATAATGACCACTTCCTAAATTTCAAATGTTCATTCTGGATCAGTTTTGGCCTTAATAGCTGCACTACCTTCTTGAATTCAACAAATCAATAATAACCTACCTCTCCCCCTAAAAGGGCAAAGCATTTGAATTTTTTCTTTAAACTGAAAAATACCATATGAAAATGTTATTGGGAAAGACTGCTTTTTGATTCTGTAATATACATTATGTGTGTATGTGTCTAATTACGCATCGTGTGTGTGTGTGTGTGTGTGTGTGTGTGTGTGTGTGTGTCTCCAACCAAGTAGGACAAAAATATTGAAAAATCAAGGTCATATTTAAAATACTTGGTAGAAGGTCATAAACATTTTGTTCCTATCTAGGACTTTTACCCGGATAACTTCTGATTTTTTTCCAATTTTCTTTTAGAGATAAGGTCTTGTCCTGTTGCCCAGGTTGGGGTGCAGTGGTGCAATCACAGCTCACTGCAGCCTCAAACTCCTGGGTTTAAGTGATCCTCCCACTTCAGCCTCCCTAGTAGCAGGGACCACAGGCATGTACCACTGCACCCGGTTAATTTTTTTTTGTTAAGGTAGAGACGGAATCTCATTATGTGGCCCAGGCTGGTTTTAAACTCCTGGCCTCAAGCAGTCCTCTCACCTTGGCCTCCCAAAGTATTGAGATTACAGGTGTAAACCAATAAGGCTTTGACACCTTTCTGACTACTAAAGGACAATAACATCAATAAAACCATGGGAACTAACAAGTCAACTGCCTTCCACAGGATCACTCTAGTTTTGGGAAAATGCTTATATTACTTTACAGACAACTCCACCCAAACACTGCATCAACACATAACCAATAATCTTACTATACAAATCTCTTAATATCAAGTAAGGTTTTACCCAGAGAAATAAGGTACCTGTGACCCCTACCTGCTTCTCCTTTTCAGCTACCTTGAGCCATTACAAGATGAAATTTTCCAGAATTAGGCAACATAAAAATTATTTTAATCACAATTAAGCTAGGGATGCAGAAAAACTGTGCCTATCTGAACGGTACTCATTTGCTCCTGGGAGAACAGGTTGCTGGTAGAGCCAAGACTAATTCCCTGCCTTATTTGGGTCTTCACACTGTAATATTTCTTACTGTGTGGTAGTTACATACATACATATAAAACTTTACTGCTGTACACTTAAGATTAGTATTTTTGTTAAAAATTGTAAGTTATACATCAACTTAAAAGGGGAAAATGAACATTCAACAAATGTTACAATAAAAATTAAACCACATTTTATATTTTTAATTCTTCCCCAAACCTTAAGGGCTGAGAGTACAGAAGTGAGGGAAAGAGCATCCTTTTCAGCTAAAATTGCCTTCAATGCTACTGACTGAGCCGCTTAGAATTACTGAGCTATGTGAACTTTCATGAGGATGGAATGCAGGGACTTGTTTTGTTTTCTGAGACAGGGTCTCGCTCTGTCACCCAGGCTGGAATGCAGTGGTGCAATCATGGCTCACTGCAGCCTTGACTTCCTGGGTTTAAGTGATCCTCCCACCTCAGCCTCCTAACTAGCTGGAACCACAGATGCACACCATCATGCCTGGCTAATTTTTTGTATTTTTTGGTTGAGTTGGGGGTGTCACCATGTTACCCAGGCTGGTCTCGAACTCCCGAGCTCAAGCAACTTGCCCACCTCAGCCTCCCAAAGTGCTGAGATTATAGGCATGAGCCACCATGTTCGGCTGACACAAGGTCTTAAAACACACCGTTTTTGTTCTGTAAGGTTCTGAATTGAAAAACTTCTCTTCTGCATCCTAGAAAAGGTCTTTATCTAACCAAAAAGACCACAATTTTACCAACACCTTATTGGCAATATTCAGAAAGAAAAAAACCAAAATGACTTGCAGCAGTGGCCCCAGGACAGCAGCACCAAGACCACCCCACCCGTTAGAAATGCACATTCTCAGGGCCACTCCACACCTACGAAATCCAAGTTCTTGGGGTGGGGCCAGGTAATTTGTGTCTTAATAGCTCTTCTAGGTGTCTGTGGTGTATGTTCAAGTTTATGAACCACTGACCTATAAATCAACACAAATCCTGGTTTGGTAGAAATAAGGGTGTTCATGGAATAAAAAACCCATTTAGGTAGAGAAGCTAAGCAGGAAAATGAAGTAGTTTAGCCTAAACCAAATCAAAATTATCAATGGAAATGGGGTAAACCCTCAAGTTTTATCCATTTTAACTATTTTAACCATGTCTCCTCTGTTAAGGACTATTATTACCTTCTTAACCTATTGATAAGTCTTTTCCAATCAAGTTAAATCCATGTTGATTCAGTCTCTGACATTTTGGCAAATTTCTTCAATGCATCTTTTTTTTTTTTTTTTTTTGAGAACCTACCGTGGGGCCCAGCCCCGCTCCAATCTATGATCTCACAAGCTTTGATCTGGGCCCTGCTAAGTCCTCCTGCCTCATACATCACAGAATCTGAACATACGACAAGAATCTTCGTTCACTCAAGTTTATTTCATTAGCACCTCTAATTTTAGACACACCCACATTACATCTTCTTCCCACCAAGCATTCAGTCTTCTTCCAATAGGCAGAACAGCATCTCTGAGGCTCGGTTTATAAGCCTTGGGGACTGGGGAGGGATCCTTGTCACCAAAGTCATTTAACAAACTTGGAAAACACATGGGAATCAATAAAGGGGCATTGCTTAGAAACTGTACAACAATGTCAAATACTAGTTTTAAAGACTGGCAGCTTTCATAACAGCTCGTATTAATTGCAGCCCAAAACTGCAAATGACCCAAATAGCCATCAAAAGCACCACAGGCAAATAAATTATGGTATATTCATAGGTTGGAATGCTACAAAAGCAATAAAAAAGGATGCACTACTGATACCTGCCATAATACAGGTACACCTCATAGACATTACATATGTGAAATCCAGTTGCCAGCTCCCCAAAATGCATACCAGTTATATGAATTTCAAAGGCAAACAAAACTAACTGACAGCGGTAGAAGTCAGAGCAGTGGTTAGCAGGGGGTGATGACTGACTTTAGGGTTAGGAGGGAATCTTCCAGGAGACAGTGATTTTTTTTTTTTTTTTTTGAGATGGAGTTTAGCTCTTGTCACCCAGGCTGGGGTGCAACAGTGCAATCTCAGCAAACTGCAACCTTGGCCTCCTGGGTTCAAGCAATTCTCGTGCCTCAGCCTCCCAAGCAGCTGGGATTACAGGCGTGTACTACCATGCCCAGCTGATTTTTCTATTTTTAGTAGAGACAGTGTTTCACCACATTGGCTAGGGTGGTCTGGAACTCCTGACCTTGTGATCTACCTGCCTCAGCCTCCCAAAGTGCTGGGATTACAGGCGTGAGCCACCACCTTACCAAGACAGCGATTTTTAAAAATGTATGTAAATTATAGTCAACTTAAAAGGGAGAGGATCGGAATATTTAACAAATATTAAAGGCCAGGCACTATATCTAGTGCTTGTTTTTTTTTTTAAGAGACACAGTCTTGGCTGGGCGTGGTGGCTCATCTGAGGTCGGGAGTTCAAGATCAGTCTGGCCAACATGGCAAAACCTTGTCTCTAACTAAAAATACAAAAAATTAGCCGGGTGTGGTGGCAGGCACCTGTAATTCCAGCTACTCGGGATGCTGAGGCAGAAGAATAGCTTGAACCCAGGAGGCAGAGGTTGCAGTGAGTGAGAATCTATCTCAAAAAAAAAAAAAAAAAAAAAAAAAAAAAAAGGAGAGACATGGTCTTGTTCTGTTGTGCAGGCTGGAGTGCAGAGGCATAATCAAACCTCACCAAAGCCTCCTAGGCTTGAAGGATCCTCTTGCCTTAGCTTCCCAAGTAGCTAGGACTACAGACACATGCCACCATGCCCAGTTAATTCCCCCCTCACCCAAGGAGAAAAGTTCTTGCTCTGTTGCCCAGGCTGGTCTTCCAACTCTTGGCCTCAAACTGTCCTCCCGCCTCAGCCTTCGGAAGTCTTGGGAGTTACAGGCAAGAGCCACTATGCCCAGCCTATACCAAGTGTTTTATATGCAGAATGTCACTTCATCCTCACAACCCCTTGAGGGAGATTTTATTATTGTTCCTATTTATAGACTAGAAGACCAAGGCTTAAATTTGTAAAAGGCCACAGAGATACCAGTAGCAGTGATGAAAGCAAACTCCCATCTGTCTGATGTCAAGTCAAGCTATTAACAAATACGCAATACTACCTCTCAAGAAAACAGGAGGCAGAGGCAACCTACCCCCACACAGAAACAACTAAGAAGCAAAGAGTATTGTAAATAGATAATACCGGAGAACAGAAATACATGCTGTTCATAACAATGATCCTATGATATTTAAAACAAAATATTAAACTACATTTGATACAATTTTCTCATGCAGACCAGACACAGAGAAATATTTAATATAATTCAATAAGAAATCATATACACACACAAACACACACACACTTTAAAACTCAGTAAAGAAGGCCAGGCACAGTGGCTCATGCCTGTAATCCCAGCACTTTGGGAGGCTGAGGTGGGCCGATCATTTGAGGCCAGGAATTTGAGACCAGCCTGGGCAACATAGTGAAACCCTGTCTCTCCTAAAAATACAAAAATTAGCTGGGCACAGTGGCACATGCCTGTAATTCTAGCTGCTCAAGAGGCTGAGGCATGAGAATTGCTTGAACCTGGGAGGCAGAGGTGGCAGTGAGCCGAGATGGCGCCACTGAACTCCAGCCTTGGGGGACAAAGCAAGACTCTGCCTCAAAAAAAAAAAATTCTATTTAAGTTGAATTAAATCTAATTAAATAAAAATTGCTATGGAACATAAAAGAAGTTATTTACTATAAATGAATCCCATTCTTGTGCAATGTCTTGTTAGCAATACTTTGTTGGTTAAGTTTATTCTATGTACTTAAAGCAGCAAGATACAAAGAATATAATGTCATTTCTATCAACATGTTATCAGACTTTATTAATTATGATTAGAGTACTTTCTAATTGGTAAGTTCTACAGAACAACTATGTGAAGAAGCACTAAAAATTTTAAGTCCATCGTAACTTAAAAATTTTAAGTCCATCATAGGTTGACACTTTTATAAAATACAATAAATATGAAATGTAATAGTACTGTACTATTACATACCTGCAGTAAGGCAATAATCTTATTTTTTTATAAATAAAATAAATTACTAGAAAAATAAAAGGAGGAAAAAACAAAATAGAAGCCGAAATTTCTATTATTTGATTCTACAAACATAAAATCGCTTTATTCAATAATTATAAATGTTTCTAAAATCTTACCCTCAACTTCTGTATTTATCCCATCACTGGCTGGTAACAAAATGTCACAGACTGGCACCAGTTCACAGGCAACACTTTAAGAAACACTGTTTAGATAAATCAAATACCCAGTATCTATGACTGAAGAGATTCAAATTTCAAAAACCTGAATGGTTTCTAGCTAAGTCCTGTCTTTCGGAGAATTACTAACTGATGCTCCTGGGACCTCAAGGAACTAACTTCATTTCTCAGTGCCAAACTTCAATAGTTTGAAACACAGCAAGGCAGTAAGCAATGCTTATTCCATTTTTGGCACCTGTATTTAAATCAACTCAAAACCTCTTTTTTTTTTTTTTTTTTCACATCAACAGTGTTCCATGGATCCTTCCTTGCACTGTGTGAAATGTGTGAGCATATTCCTATTTCAGGATCTTGTGCTGTAAATGTTAAGAGTAGCATCACAAAGAATTATCATTATAAAGAAGAGTTCTATAGAACAAACGTCACTACAAGAGATGACCGAGGTGCCTGTGACGCAAGACCAAAAATACAAGCATTTCTTTTAGAGGAAGAATGTGGTTGCTGTTATGTTATAGGTTGAGAAAAATAATTTTCCGGCTTAGAAAATGACCTCTATCTTCCTCTCTTCCCTTCCTACCCACCTCAAATAAAAGAATACTTAAGATGAACCATGAGCTAGCAGGAAAGGGATGACACTGGGTTCAAGCCGATTCTTTTTTTTCTTTTTTGAGACAGGTTCTCACTCTGTCACCCAGGCTGAAGTGCAGTGGTGTGATGTAGGCTCACTGCAACCTCTGCCTCCTGGGTTCAAACAATTCTCCTGCCTCAGCCTCCTAAGTAGCTAGGATTACAGGAATGTGCCACCAAGCCCGGCTAATATTTACATTTTTAGTAGAGATGGGGTTTTGCCATGTTGGCCAGGCTGGTTTCGAACTGCTGACCTCAGGTCATCCTCCCACCTCGACCCTCCACAGTGCTAGGATTACAGGCATGAGCCACTGTGCCTGACACTACCCAATTCTAATTTGCTAAATCACAGATCTTTACAATCTTTCATGCAGTGTATGACTGAAGTCTTCAGACTGCCCTGACAAATTGTTATTTCAGGAAGTAAGTCCATAGGTGGTGCTATAAAGTTATTTGAAAAGGAGATTTTGCCAATAATTAGAAATACCCATCTGAAAGCTCATTTAAAATGAAGTCAGATTAACAAGCTTCCTTTTTTAAAGGGAGGATGTTACATTCAAAATCAGACATTTGTGACATATGTAACAATGCTAATACGATAAACTAGTTTGAACAATGAACTAATAAGCAATAGTTATCAGTTCATTGTATATGCAGTGAACTAATTTGTGAATGGAAGAACAAGCCATTTTTGAAGATATCAAAGTCTTCAATGAGTAAAAATATTTCACATATTACCCATTAGCACCATACAAATATTTAAATTATACAACTAAGTCAAGTATTTTGATAAACAAGTAGAAGAATTTTTAGAACTTAATTTGATTTAAGCACCAGTTTTCTCGAAGTATCTTCAACACAATCAGATTCTAAGTTTGAGATGAGGATGCCATCCATTCCCGTAGACTTCATTATCTACCACTTCTGGGACACAGTGACTTGACTGGTTTTTCCGGGAGTGGTGCTGCATTAGCAACCTCACCCACTGTCTCTACTGTGTCCCCAGAAAAAAGGGGTTCATTTCGGTCCCAGAAAGTAACTAATGATTATTGGGAAAACTTCTTAACTTCTCAGGAACCACACTCCTCAGTGATAGTTTTGAGTATCACAGCCCAGAATTCTCACCTGATTACAAAGCCTAAGTTTTTGTTTTTTCGTTTTTGTTTTTTTTGAGACAGAGTCTTGCTCTGTTGCCCAGACTGGAGTGCAGTGGCATGATCTCAGCTCACTGTAACCTCTGCTTCCCGGGTTCCAGTGATTCTCCTGCCTCAGCCTCCTGAGTAGCTGAGATTACAGGTGTGTACCACCATATTCAGCTAATTTTTGTATTTTTAGTAGAGATGGGGTTTCACTATGTTGGTCAGGCTGGTCTCAAACTCTGGGTTTTTTTTTTTTTTTTTTTTTTTTGGAGACAAGTTATCTATTGCCAGGCTTGAGTGCTGTGGTATGACCATAGCTCACTCACTGGACCTGCAAACTCCTAGGCTCAAACAATCCTCCAGCCTCAGCCTCCCACGTATCTGGAACTATAGGCATGCACAACCACACCTGGTTAATTTTTTTTTTTTTTTTTTTTTTTTTAATTTTTGTAGAGATGGGGTCTGGCTTTGTTGCCGAGGCTGGTCTGGAATTCCTGGGCTCACACAATCATCCCACATTGGCCTCCCAGCATGCTGGAATTACAGGCATGAGCCATTGTGCCCTGCCAATACCTAGTTTTCATCAACGGCAGTGGTTCTCAACATGGGTAGATTTTGCTCTCCATCCTCCAAGGGCACTTAAAGAGACACATGGCAATGTCTGGAGACATTCCGAGTTTTGACAACTAGAGTAGGTGTGAGGATTTTACCAGCATCTAGTAGGCAGAAGCCAAAGATGCCACTAAATGTCCTACAAATGCACAAGATAGCCCCCATCACAAAAGGTCAATAGAGTCACTGCTGGAAAACCCAGATCTGTGGTGTTATTTGTGCTCACCCTAAAATGACTAATTACCAGATCTTCATTTTCCAGAAACAACTATCAAGATATTTCTGGCAAGAATGTGATTACCTGACTCTACCACATCATTCTTATATTTACCTGAAAGGAATATAGGATGTATCTCCAAAGATTAATATTCTATATGCTTCTTCTGGAGTTCTTCCCAAATATATAACCTATATTTGAAAAAAAAAAAGAAAAGGCAATTTATTTCTAAATGAAGATACAGTGCTGTCACTGTGAAGTAAATTTTGTCCAATTCCCAACCAATCAAGCCTGTTCTCCAGCCTTCCCCAAGAGCCTAGGAATCACCCAGAATCCTTTCCATAGATTTCTTTTTTGTTTAAATCCTCCATTGCTGGTTTCTGTTGCTTGTAGTATGAGCCCTAACCAATAACTCTTCACAGCAACCTTTTGTGGTAAGAAGCAAAGCATTTTAAAAACATATTTTCCAAATCAAGACGGTAGATTCATCACATGCTTTTACCTCCCCTCCTTCCTGAAAGTCCACTGAAATGACAACTAAGCAGTGTATAGGAGATGCAGATGGGGTTAGACTGGGGTGAGTTGGAAAGAGACACAAAAGCAGAACAGAAACTGTGATTAGCTCCATCCATGTAGGTGTAAGTGCTTGCAAGACCAAACAAGTTTACTATCAAACTGCACCTGTTCAAACTCTCATTTGCTTCTTTTGTCTTTGGAATGATGCTATGCTTGGACTTTAATCTGGGAAAATACCTCAAGCATATTCTTCAGCATTTGAGGTCTATAGTTGGTACTCCTTGCATTTCCAAAAAAAACTTTTTCCCCTTGACATTTATTATTTGACTATGCATAGGATTTTTGGTCTGCAGTCATTTCCTCTCTAAAGTTTATAGATAACGTTCCAATGCCTTCTCGCCTCTAGTGTTACAGTAGTATATTACGTCTAATATATCTCTGACTCCTCCTTCCATGTAACCCGTTTGTTCTAGAAATGTGGAGTTGGAGACTTTCACCAGCATCTATCTAAGTAAGTCCTCTCCCTACCCCTTATTACGTTTGCCTGGGACTTCAGAATCTTCCTGCAGGGCACTTTCAACTCATGGATGGAAGGCTGGGGTGACGGCGAATGGGGGGGAGACACAGCATTAAATCTAGCACACATATTATCACTAAAATTAGGTTGAATTCCAAAGATTACTTCAGGGAAATATATTTTAAATTTCACTAACAAAAGAATAAATCACTAAATAAAGTTAACTGCAAACTTTTCATCTCCATTAGCTAACATGATACATGTGACCTGTTTCCTCAACCAAATGAGAAGCATTCTGAAGTTGGGACCCATGTCTTATAGTTTCATTACACACCAGTCCGATTCATTAGATTTACTCAGCTGAACCCAAATCTACTTACAATAGTTAGGAAAATTTAAAATTTTAAATAAAAGTTAATATCAATGTGAAAGTACTACTGGACTAAGAAAATTTTTTCAAAACTCAAAAATCCAGCAAGGATCTTAGAAACTCAGAAACAGACATAACCTAAAACTAGTCATAAGCACTGACTCAGCTTCCAAAGGGCATTTCACCAATTTTCTGATTTAAGACTCAAAAACGGAAAATTTTCCCAATTTCTGGCCTTTTCCTTTTTTATTTTTTTTTTTTTTTTTTTGAGCTGGAGTTTCACTCTTGTCATCCAGGTTAGAGTCCAACGGCGCAATCTTGGCTCACTGTACCCTGCCTCTTGGGTTCAAGCAATTCTCCTGCCTCACCCTCCTAAGTAGCTGGAACTATAGGTGTGCACAACCATGTCTGGCTAGTTTTTTGTATTTTTAGCAGAGACAGGGATTTACCATGTTTGTCAGGCTGATCTCAAACTCCTGACCTCAGGTGATTCGCCCACCTTGACCTCTCAAAGTGCTGGTCTATACACAGACATGCACTTAAGCCACCATGCCTGGTCTACACACAGATCTTTTTAAGTATCAACCTATAAGTTGACTTTATTTTATTATTTGGAAAAGCATCATAACAACTACTTCATGAAAATTAAAACATTAAAAAAATCCAGCCTGTTCTTTCCAGATTCCCTTATTCCCTTCCAGTCTCCAATGTATCTATGCTTCTTCTTATACTTACCAGGTAATGTAAGTCTTTTATTTTCTCCATTCTATTTTAAGACTTCCTAGCTGATTAAAACAACAACAACAACAACAACAACAACAACAACAACTAAAACTGGCCGGGTACGGTGGCTCACACCTGTAAATCCAGCACTTTGGGAGGCCAAGTGGGTGGATAACAAGGTCAGGAGATCGAGACCATCCTGGTTAACACAGTGAACACCATCTCTAGTAAAAGTACAAAAAACTAGCCAGGCATGGTGGCAGGTGCCTGTAATCCCAGCTACTCGGGAGGCTGAGGCAGGAGAATCGTTTGAACCCAGGAGGCGGAGATTGCAGTAAGCACACGTACACACCCACACACACACCCCCCCCCCCACACACACACCCCCAAACCCCAAAAAAAAAAAACAAATAAAAAGCACCTTGAAGCCAATGAGAATGAGAATAGGGGTTGCTTCATTTGTGTACTAAAATGAAATCTAGAGACCCATTTTGGAATTTCTCGAAATTTCTGAGGACTTCTCTCAAATTATACAAATTTTTCCTTAAGCACCAACTTAAGATACTGTCTCCCGCTTGTGACTGTAGTTCTTTGGGTTCTTACATTAGTAAAATTGCAATGGTATTACTTTCTCCTAACTTTCACAACAAAAATAGTCTCTAATACATCAAGGACTGCGGTTTAGCCTTGGAACACTAGTTCCATTCAAAGAACACAAGAACAATGTAACATTTTTTCCTGTGGGGGAAAAAACCCTGAATTCCTGATGATGAACTTTAAAAGACTGTGATTTAAAAATCCAGTTGTGAAATGCCTTCACATAAATAAAAAGTATAATTAGATAAACTGAGGGAAATTTACAGATGCAGAATAAACCCACTTACATAACTATCAAAGACATATTTGCCAATCTATAACTTTTACCTTTTTTTTTCTTTTTTGGCCAGCCATGAAGGAAGTAGCTTTTACTTTTACACCGACTCATCTTGCCAATTCAAAAGGCCTTCCCAAATGAAATAATCCTAAATTTGTTACTGAAGAAGAATCCTATAAATGACTCCTACATTAACACAAATTCTCAGATTAGTAAACTGTAATTGATGCAACTTATGATCTATCACCGTACTTCCAGCAGTCTGGACACTTGGCATATATTTTCACGAGAAGCTATACATACAGATTGCCCACTCTAATTCCACAGTGCTAGTTAAGAACAGGAAGCAACAAATGATGACCAAGAAAGCTGCTGACCAGCTGTGATCGCCAGCTTCCCAGACAACCCCAAAGAGTCACATCTGCTGTCATTTCCACCCTTGTGTGGTCCCCTCCCACAGTGAACTAGGTGCCCCTATGTCAAGAACAGGATACTGTAGTAATAGGGTGTGACTTTGGAGGCTAGATTATAAAAGAGGTAGCTCCTGTCTTGCCTTCTCTTAGAAACCTTGCTCTGGGTACAGCAAGCTGTCATTTTGGGAGGATATTCAAGCAGCCCACATGGTATGGAAGTGAGGCCTCCTGCCAGCAATCGGCACTAACCTGCCAGGCATGTGACTGAGTCCCCTTAGATGTGGACCCTCCAGGTGAGGGCTGCCCAGACAATCCAGAACCAGACCAGACCCATCCAAGTTAAGCAACTTCCAGATGCCTAACTCACAGACACGGTCTGAGACAATGTTTACTGTCGTTTTAAGTCACAAAGTTCCGCGGTAATTCACCAGGCAGCAATAGCTAATACGGTAGCACACTCAACCAGTAAGGAAATGGCTGTTTCTGTTGAAAGTGAATAAACAAATACGTGATACACCAGCAGAGATGTGGCTTAAGCAGCATTGACTCTCTAGGATAAAGACTCACACACACTGTAGTTGAAAATAGTATCTCTCTCTCTCTCTCTCTCTCTCTCTCTCTCTCTCACACACACACACACACACACACACACACACACACACAGTGACTGAAAATTCTTGAGACTGGTGTGGTTTTTGAAATCATGGTACAAAGTTATTTTTTGGCTGAACAATACCTCAGACATTCCCAGGACTTCCCACCACCCCTGTTTTCTAAAATCACCATCTGCACAGATGAGTCCCTGTGAAAACTCCGGACCTTCATATGTTTCAAAACCAGCAGTGATGGAAGAACAAGCAACTGAAGCAACAGGATCCCAACTGCATTACTTCTCCTTTCAATGTTTCAATGCTGACAAGCCCAGGCCTCAAATCACGAAAACTCACTTGGACATGTGCTTCCTTTTCCTAGTCTTACTCGCAGGATTCCCAAGCTTTATTTATATACTTAGCCTCTAGTACAGTTTAGAAACCCAAACATTGCAGAAGTCATTACACCCTAGAGCAAAGAATGACAAAGGACATTGAAATTCCAACAACAAACTTGCAGCAGCCTGAGTAACCAGGATATCCTGGAGAAATGTCACAATGTTTCCAGCACTTAAAGACTCTTGCAACTATTTTAATGTCAGCCAGATGATACAGTCTTTCCTACGCCAAAAACTTGATTATTTAAAAAAAAAATCAGTCTCTCCAGATTAACATAGTGTGCTCATAAATCAATGCAAGTTGAAGATAGGCTACACATTCAACTGCTCAATAAAAAAGGTGAGCAGGGGAAAGAACACAGAGAATAAAAAAGTAAATAAGATAAAATCATTTTTATAGCTCCCACACAAAACCGGTAAGAAAAAAACTCAACACTAAAAAACCATCAGATGACCCTACATTTCAACAGTTTTAACTTTTAAAATTACTTTTACATACACACATACACACACATACACACACACACACACACACACACACACACGGAGTAGGTTGGCATAATGATCCTCAATTTAGACAAACTGAAACTGGAAGTTTAGAGTAGCAAACATATATCGACCAAGTCTGCTAATAAAAATAGTGAATTGGCCCTGGGAATGAGTGCACGTTTGAGTGGTAGTAACATTTTTAAAAGACAAAGTAAAAAATCTTGATTTTTAAAAAAATGAAATCTCCTAATTTTTAACCATAGAGGAAAAACACCCACACTATTTATAACACTCTGTGAGT